TCTTCATAACACATTCTTGGAAATAATGGTGCAAAGCATAACTGCTGTTAAAAGTAGCTGAAATTTTATCTTTCCCTGATGCTGTGCACTCATAAAACTCACACAGAAGGCACTCACAAAAATTCACTCACTTTGGTAGACTAATACGAGAAAAACAGAATTTGTAAGACCACAGCGTTAGCTTGGGTTCTTGTACCTGCCTTAGAACAAATCTATGTACATACATTTCTTCTCAAGAAAGTAAGCTATTACAGACTCTTTGTTTCCGCTTCACAGAAAATAATATTTTAGAAAGTTTCTTTACTTCTCTCACAGAATTTCTCCAAAATCAGTGTCATCAAAAATAGGACCAGAGAGAGGTTTTAAAGTTATTTTTAAAAACAAACACATATGCTTTCTGACAGGAAAGAGAAGGCTTGTGGTGAGCAGTACAAAACCACAACCTACTGCTGTTCAGGTCATTGTTCTCTGTTCCCAGTTGCTGGACCACATGCCAACGCAGCTAAGACAACAAGGTTCAAGAGTAATTATGTTGGCAGCTTTTGAGCTGCATCTGCGTTTGTCGCTTTGTTAGACTGCCCATGTGCTGCCTTGTCTTCCTTGTCCTCCTGAATGTCTTTTCCTTTCACCATTTCTTTGTATTATTTGCCTATATTTTATCAATTCATGATTAACATCCCAGTGAAACTCTGTATACATCCTGCGATATGCAAGGTGTATATAGTGGACCTTCAAGCTCTGAGTGACTGACCGGTTTGCTTGGATAGGTAGATGGATTTATGAAATGCCTGCCAGCTAGGCTCAGAGATGCACACATGGAACCTTTCCATTGAAATGCAGCCTAACTTGACCGCACACAAACTTGTGCAGCTTTCAATCTGAGGCCTTTGCAAATACGTACTACACCCCTTAACCACGTACTCATTTCTTATTATAAATACTATGTTTTTCTTCTAGATAGATCCTGGTTCAGTCTGTAAAGTTCAGATTCAGATTTCATGTGCCCTGTTCATCCCAAGAAGGTTTGATCTGCTATATTTTGCAGCAGAAAGCAAATTACAGATATTCAGAGGTGGATTTGGTTTGAATTTCATACTCTACCATTGAGATAAAAATGGAATCACAATTTTTTTTTTTGGTTAGCCATGTCTAAACTGCTCAACCAGAAAGCTCCTGAGGGTATCCAGAATATCCTGTGCACCTCTCCAAGGAAGGCTTTCAGGGCACCCCCCACATATCCAAACTGTAACTCCTAGGAGTATGCACAAACAAAAACCCGGACTACAGGTCTTGTGGCATGCACCAAGTCTTTTTATCACTTAGCCTCACCTATTTTTTTCCATACTATGCACATGCTTCAAGCCCTTCATGTAGCCTAAAGTACACCACAGCACCTAGTTTTCCAGGGTCTCATAGCACATGGCTGGCACTTGAGGGGCAGAAACCAGAGAAGGGGCTGGATGCAGACCCCGTGGTTACCAGCCCTCCCAATGGACGCCCTCAGGCTAATGGTGCCTGAGCCTGGCAGCACACGAGCTTGTGCCTTTGTGTGGAAGAAGAATAAGCTGATCTGGAGCTCCTCCTTGGTGCAGGGATTCACTGCTAGGCAAATTGCTGGTAGGCCCTGGGCTACAGCATTAGGGTCCTTGGAGCAGCAGTGGCACAGTAGTACCCTGTAGATGCAGAGTACTTCTGGGGCAGTTTTGGGAGAAATACCCTGGAATATAACTTCCTCTCACAGGGAGTTTTCACAGCACCTCAGAGACTGCTGCAAGATGTAGGAGCCTGGACAGTTAGGGCATTTAACCTTGATGACGCCTTCAAGAGTGGTGCAAGGCTAGTGGGTTTTGAGGTCCAGCTATCCTGCCAACTATCTCAATCACCCTGTTTGTACAACAGGGTTGCAACATCCTACATAAATAAATGCTTGTCACCAAGAATAAGATCCTTCAGGGCAAAGTTGCAGCTAGCTCTTGCAGAGTGTGCTGCAAACAAGGAGCTAGGGCTCCCTCTCCCCCCTGTTTTGTATGGAGCCCTGTCAAAACGGTCATTGCCACTCCAGTGGGAATACAGGCACTGTGCTACGAAGGGGAGGAAGAAATCCTAAATAAGTGGGAAGGAGGAAGGAGAAGGTCTCACCTGTCCTCCTACCCCCTTGGTCTCTGTTGTGACCTGTGGATCTGATGTGATTGATGACCAGCCTGTATCCTCCTTTATTTGGAAAGAACACACAAGTCAGGAAGATTGAAGGGGAGGTATTATATCATTCCCAGGCTCCTTTCAAGTAGTTCCACACCATCTATTGCCAGCTTGTGTTTCACAAACCCAGACTCTTTCTCCAGGGACAATCAACATATACACTGTAAGCTTCTTAGGGCTCAATTTTTGCGCTGAGAAAAAGATACCTTTTTAGGACTGCCATAAAATACCATATATGTACTGATAAATAAGAAAATAGTAATAAATTATCTCCTCAAAAATATTGATTAAGCTTCATAACACCTGGGGAGTAATCACAGGACATATTAGGTGCTATTAAGAAAAGACAGCAATATCGCAAAGTGCAGATGACGTTTTCACCTCCAGAACTTCCTAGCTTGCATCTGTTTTTCAATGCTTTCATGAAGATGGAGTGATTTCTGAGGTCTTCAGTCAGCACAAAGAGGCAAAGTGATGTGTCCATAGTTTATAAACCACTGATTTGGGAGAGTCCTTCCCCAGCCCATTGCTACATCTGCTACACAATACTTATTCCCTTCATTAACAGTCTAAGTCATCATGTTTATTAATCACCATGATTAATTGTGTTTGTTCACAAATGTATATCAACAGATTGAGTTTATTACGTCTAGGTCTTATAAGAAATCATATATTGCACTGAACGACTGTGTCAGTTCTGCTATTACTGTATTTCTCATTGCTGAGTTATAAATAGTGCACGCAACACATGTGAAAAGGATCACGCTCCACTCCAAGGTGGGAAATAACTGAAGAAAACTATTCTAGTAAACAAGCCCTTCCTGAAGAATGTGGGAATAATTGGCAGTGAGAGCAGCTCCTGGATCGCTCTACTGACAAATACTGTCTCACTCCTCCCAGCTAGTAAAGCAATGCTGCATGTTAAGGAAGCCAGAGACCAGTAAAAGGGAAACTAAGAAGTCTTCGTGCTGCCCTTAGAAAAACTCAATCAAAACCGCATTGTTTAACAAATCGTCTCCTTAAGATAGCTCAGAGGTTCATTCCAGATATTGCTTCAACTGTCCATGCCACCGTCTTCCTACTAACACTCATGACATGATCAGGGGCTGTTCAGTACTGCATGTCAGATATGACACACACGTTTTCTCCATCATGAGAGATTTTCAGTGATGATGATCTTAAAGCCTCTGCACACAACCTCTTTCAGGAGAAAGATTTTTCTTATATCTCACTTACGTCTTCTCTGCTTCGGTTCAAACACATTTTGTTGTGCTGTGCGCCAAGAATGTGGAGAACAAATGGCACGCTTTTCGTAGTCCATTTTTTAACATACAAGACAAGGAGTATTTTACATATTTCAAGACTGTTGAATGTTTGTATAAAATCATCCTGTTGCAGATAGCAAATGGGATGCAGAAGGACTGATGTACCTTAGTTACTCAATAGAAAGTGTACTTACGGGATCACACACCTCTGCTCTGTTCAGCAGTGTCATGCACTATCTGCAGTTTCTGCACCACGCTGCATTTAATAGTCCCTTGTTTTCCCCCTTCACCAGTCATAAGCACCGTATTAACTGCAAATACACCTCGTGTCCAGCTGAGGAGCTGTGTCAGGAAGCTTGGCAATTCTTTCCATTTGGTACATCGAGCCGTATTTACACGAGCATAAAATATGCCAGCTGACTTGCTATTAGTAAACATACTGAGAAACTAACAGAAATGTTGTTTAGTCAGATACATTTAGGCTGCAGACAAACACAACAGGGGTATTCATACCATCTCACTTGACAGTTTGTACAAGTCACTCTTCAGAAGTGCAAACCCCTTTCCACCGACTCCATGAGGAGCGCAGGCTCCTAAATTTTAGTGTGCCTGATTATATCTTAGTCTGACATCTGAAGCAAATAGTGAGTCAATCTTGCATCAGCACCAACACAGCATAGTCCTTTTAGCATGTGCGATATTTGAGTGAGAACATATGCAAAGCTCCTGTAAGTGTGCAGGTTAGCAAAACTCAGTGGCTTAATTATCTCCAGAAGAAGCAGCACAGTCCTGACTGAAATTTACTTGTTTTCAAATGTAGATGAAAGCAGAGGAAATATTTTGCCATTTTCACTCTGATAATTATGAGGCAACAACTAAATCCCGAGATTCCATTTTGAGTCAAAAGTCAATACCGTGTACCCATTAGGTAGGAAATACTGTGTTTTACAGTACAGAAAATTTATTCCAAACTACCTTGGAGATACCCAGATCTTTACAGAGAGAGACTGTTTAGTTAGTATTAACATTTAAAATATGCTGTTTGTTTTTCTTCTCCTTCATATTTAACAGTTACTGCTTAAGAGAGCAAGCCTTGGAAAGAGGGACTTTGCAATAGTCTTAACCTGCATGAGGATATTTTTCAAGAGTAGATTTGGGGGAGGAAGAGGAGAATGAGTATATAAAAACAATGCCTGATCAAATTAATGAAATACATGTTCCCAGATGTTTCCTTCTTCAGGCCTCATACAGAGCAACAGCATCAGAACACCTGCAGTTTAAGGTTTCCAGTTGTCTCTAAATCTTCCCTCCTCTTTCATAAGCTGGTCTCATATTTTCCGGAGTGATGTGGTTTTCACTTCACACCTTCTGTACAAACAAAAGAGGTATTCCTTCTCTGCCCCACAGGCACTATCACACGCACACACAAACACACACATAAGCATCTCTTTGGTCTGTGCATGGTAGCTTGGCACAAGAAAGATACGTGATTAAGTTTTAGCAAGTGTCAAAACCAAGTGGCTCACAGACACTTACCTGAAGATCAGAAAGTGGTTTAGGTGTTTTCTGAAATTCAAATTAGCAAGTGTCATTCCTCCTGCTTCTACCAGCCTTTGGGGAATGTTTGATCTGTAGAGAGAATGAGAGAGAAAATGAGAAAAGACACACACCCCCGATGCAGGAGCTGAGACTTCCCACTCCCAGACACTGTCGCTGGAGGCATGCAAATAACCAAGTTTATACTTGGTTAAATGGCCAGATTGCAGGGCACCAGTGTCATATACTGTACAATAGATTCCTTCATAAATATTTAGGTCAAGAATTTCAGCACAGAACAACAGTACAATTAACAACTCAAAATATTACCATTGAAGTTACATTTGACACCTAGCATATCAGCTGGAAGTGAGCAGACATGCCTTTGTAATGTTACAATGTAGTCTATCATTTGTAATACACTATCAATGCAAAAACAGTGCCTCAGAGCACTGATCAGAAATTTCATACTCTCTTTTTCTGCTCGCTAAGGAACACATTTCATAAAGGTTGTCATGGTCTCATGTTACTGCCATGTTGCTCAGAAATAAAAGGCATCGCAAGGGAGGGAAGATCTAACATCTGATGACCTACATGGGTTTTCTATTGTTAAAAACATTAGATTTAGGTAGTTTCTGTACGGAGGGAAAAATTAAATGGACTGATATACTGAAAATGTATTGTTCATATCAAATTCGTTATGAATTTTACAGTATTTATAGTGGTTAGGATTAAAATATCAATATTTACATGTAGGTAAATACTACCCCAACACCTCTCTAAGGTACTATTACTCAAATACCTGAAAAAGTATGCCAGCAACCACAAATATAAGCAAGCTGTAATGTAAGAACACAGAGAATGAGTAAAAATGATTTATTTTACTGAAAACTGTTAAGAATTGGCACCTGCATCCTTTGTCCACCTGAATATCCCACTGAACGCCAAATGAGAAAGAACAAAGGGAGAGGGGGAACACAAGTGGCAGGAAAATGGAAACTACCCAAGAAGCACATTGCATGTGCTTAGAGAATCCTGAACGATTAGTGACCTTCTGGTTTTTCAGTTCCTGTGAGAAGTTTGCAAACGCAAAGCTGAACGGCCCATACTCCAACCTCACACAGACCTTATCGCACTTACTGACGTTTTATCCATTTACACATGCTTTAAATATCAACTCCCTTCTGCCGAAGAAAACAAAAATAACATTTTCTAGCTTTACACTGACTCTTAAATGCTCTCTACAAACTAAAAATTCTCACAGGTGCACTTTGGATTAATGATTCCCTGGATATTCATGTCATTTTTAATATTGATATAAGCAAAGCACCGGACATAGGGTAAGAAAAGCTTGTAAGACTGAGGCACTATGAATTCTTTATCTTTCCCATGTGTTTTTTCTCAGCTTCACCTCTTTACTTTTCAATCCATCACCAAATTGCATGAGGACCCACTGCACAGGATACGCACATGGCACGTGGCAGAGGAACCAATTCGTAGCAAAACTTCCTAGGTTGGGAAAGGGATAGGGTAAAGCTAAATGTAGCCCCATCAGAGCTCTCTCTTGACTGGAGCTGATCCTCAAGCCATCTGTTTCCCTGCTCACAGTGAGCAACACAAGACCAGGGCAAAGGGGAATGAATTCATTTGAAAACATACATGCCTTTAAGCAGGCTGCTCACATTATTAATGATACAGTCCACTTATTTGTACAATAGAGACATAATTGCTAACGAAGAATCAGACTACTCTACACTGTGACCTGCTGCTCATTTTCACAAATACTTATGAGTACAAGACGTGCAGCACTGTACACCTTAAAATCTTAGTAACAATCCTCTAACTCGTCTTTAAGTGCTACTAATAATGATGTGGCTATTTTTTGTTGACAGCAGATAAGATCTAGGTGCTTTCTGAAAATGCAAGAGGATTTAAATGGATGAAAGGTCCAGATCTGAAGACATTCTTTCCACTTTATTTTTGTTCTTTGGTATATTTGACAATCTACTCTTTCAGACTGATGCAAGCAGTTCAGAAAAGATATCATAGCAACAAGCTTGAATTGCAGTGAAAAAAAGCAACAAAGAAATCACTCTATTCACCTTGTAGCAAAGAACTTTTCCATATATATTTATTTTATATATATATGTATATATAAATACCTTTATTTAGACATCTCTTGAACTATAAAAGTGAATAAAAAGAAAAGCATTGAATAATTCATCAAATTTTCTTCCTTTATCACTCAGGTCCAATCTTCCCTCGTAAACGTATAAAGCCAAATTGAAGTCCATCAGATTACTAACAAAAAAAAAACAAATGCAGATTTTATCCCAAAAACAAAAAAAAAAAGCTTTCCTGGTCAGCATTGGTAGGATTTATGTGACTTGAGCTGGTCATCCTAGGCTGTGTGTATAGTCAGTGTAGGCAATAGAGTCCAGGAACTAAATCATCTCATCCTAAATAGAGACAATGCATCCATTATTTCCTGACCCTGACAAAACTTTAAATGAACTAACCCACACAAGGTGAATTATGGCTAAAGGAACTATCACATAAATACTCCACATACCAATACCCCAAAATATTCCAAATATACTGCTGCCTTCAAGGAACTGTACGTAACTCCAGTTAAAATGGGAACTCTCCCAGAATACCCATTTGGATCCATTGCAAAGCTTACACATAAAGCATTCTCCAGTAGCAACAGGGCTTTGACATTGATTTCAGTAAAAACTGAGCCTTATGTAGAGAATATTTCTTCTATAGTGTTTACTAATTTATCGTGCCAGACTATGTTTGGAGGGATGTTAAGCACTAACTAGCATGGTCTCTTCTGTGTATGTAGAGTGTGTGTATAATTCCACACATTGAAAGATGAGTATATACAGCTAAAAATAAAGCTCTATACACAGTTTCCCAGTAGGCAATTGCTTACTCATTTAAAATGTATGTTTACTTAAAATTTGGCTCCCTGGGATAGCCTTATGAAATATACATTTCATTTTAGCAGGGATTCCCAAAGGACTCAGCTGCCAGGCAGCCTTATTCTAGCTCCTTCAGTACAATGTAAAGCAGGACACTAAATCTGCTGTAACAGGCAACACTCAGGAATTACAGTTTCAGTTCACAGTCCTTTCTGCTGACAGTGTGCCTGAGGAGTAGCTGGTTCTGAACCATTCTGTTAATGCATCGGATAATTCATTCCTAGCAGTTTATAATCTGACATTAATTTTCTACAAAACCATGACATCTGAAAACCCACCGCATTAAAATCATTTTTGGGAAGGTCAAGGGCTAAGTAGGAAATGAATGACTGAAATTTCCCTAGTCATGAATATTTTACTTATTTTTTCATCCCAAACTCCTGCTGA